ATAGTAGGCCAATCCCCAGGAGACGGTGAGTTCTAGTCCCGCCTTAGGCATGAAAGCCGACTGGGTGATGTTCGGCCAATCACTTTTTCTCAGCCCAACCCACTTCACAGAGTGGTTAATTGTGAGTTAAATAGGAAGGAATTTATGTATGTTCACTCCCTTGACTTGCTGGATAAAAGTGTAGTAAATAAATGATACAAGCCAGGATCTGCTACTTCCCTCCCAAAAAATCTCTGTTCCTCCCAGCAGCCTTTGGCTTCTTATCTCCAGATTGTGCCCCACTTCAGAGCCTTTGAGATCCTGAAGCTCTGGCACTCATGGCTAAGCAATTGGACTTTTCGTTATCGTTCCTCCATCCCTCTCTTTCTCACTTTCTTTCTAGCTCAGAATGTGACTGTGGAAGAGGTTCTCACCGCCTACAAGCAAGCCTGTCAAAAGTTAAATTGCAAACAGATACCCAAACTACTGAAGCAGATCCAGGTACGTGCTTGTTCTTAAAGGTATCTCTGCCATGATTGATTAAATCTGGCTGTCGGAGGAGGAGGAGGAGGAAGTGGAGGTGTTTGTCTATTCTTGGGGTTTATTTTTTGGCAGACACAGCAAACCATTTTACATTGAGGCTGCCTACCTAGGTGCCGTTCATGCAGGTGGTCCTTGACTTAAAACCACAATCGAGCTCAAAATTGCCATTGCTAAGCGAGACGGTTGTTAAGCAGATCGCCGCAGCTATTAAGTTAGCAACGGTTGTTTAAGTGAATCTGGTTTTCCCGTTGATTTGGCTTGTCAGAAGGTCACCCAAAAAGCGCTCACAGGACCCCCGGGCACACTGCTAACGTCATAACTGTGAGTCAGTTGCTAATTTTGGCCACATGGCCATGGAGGATGCTGCAGTGCCCTTGTAACTTTGAAAGGTCACTAAATGGTACGTCAAGGACTACCTGGACAGCCTGACCAGACTTTTAGAGCAAGGTCTTTTTCCCAGTCCTTCCTGGAGAGGCTACAGCTGTTCTCGGTTTCTCATAGCATCTATCATCCACCAAGGCAGGGGTTTTCAAACATGGCAGCTTTAAGACTTGTGGACTTCAACTCCCAGAATTCCTTCTCCAGTCATGTTAGCTCAGGAATTCTGGGAGTTGAAATCCACAAGTCTTAAACTTGCCAAGTTTGAAGATCCTTGCACCAAGGGAAAGGAGAAAGGAAACCCCTTCCATCCCAAAGGAATTTGCAAAATTCTCTCTCTGTCTCTTTCTCTCTTTTTATTAAACATAAAATTCAGTGTCTACATAAACAGTGCGTCATCTGGGTAAAGTTAATTTTGAGAAATAGTAATCATAATAATTACAACAATAATGGTCACATAATAATCATATTTACTTATCCATTTTAGTAAACCTTCCTTATGTAATCAATCATTCTCTTACGCTTTTAAATTTCTAACTTCTGTTTCTGTTAATTAGCCCGTTGATCAAACAAATTCCACATTAAAGAAATATTCAGATTCTTCCTTCTCCTTAATTTTAAGTGTTATTCTCTTTAAATGCCATAGTTTCCCTTTGGATTTTGACTCCACCTTGAGAACCATGGCCGGGAAGACAATAATTAGTTCTGTGTTGTAATCCTAAAACCGAAACAAACTGACTTGGCTTTCAAAGAGAGTCTGAGTCGGATCTGGCATTTTTATTATTTACTTTATTATTATCTTTTAATGACATTTATATGCTGCCCATCCTGCTATCCAAAATTAGAAGACACCCCCTTCCTTCTCTCCAACTCCGATCCTTGGTGTGTTTTCTTGCTATAGATAATAATTTGCCGCTATTCTGTTGCAGGAATTCAAAGATTTAACCCCTAGGATAGATTGCCTGGATCTCAAAGGTACGTCTCCAAGCCTTTTCTTGATTTGCCAACTTGGGCGTGCCTGAAAAGGTGGCCGTCTCTCTTCTCGCTCAAGCATTGGTTCCATTTATTTGCATTTGAAAGCAGTGCCTTGTTTTCCCCTAGAATGGAAGTCACAGATCCCGGGGCCATTTTGCCAAGTGCCAGGTGCGAATGAGTCATTATCTTTTGCCGGCAGGCATGTGACTCCCGATGTCCTAAAAAAAATAAAAAATCGGTTCAGGTTTTGCACCAACTCTTCTCTTTTGTGTTCCTCTCTCTTCTTCACTTGTAAATTTACAAAGTTAAATCAAGTTTTGGGGAGAAAAAAAAAATTGCTAAATGCAACCAAATAGTGTAACCGGATGGACAGGTTTGCTGATGAAAATCTGCATCCTCTTTTCCACAAGAATTACCCGCGGTGCTGATTTGGATTTACCTGCAATGAACCTTCCTTTTTTTTTATTCTGTTTTGTTCCCCCCCTCCCCGGTTCCCTCACCTGGTTTTCTATTTCATAACTAAGCAGCCCCTTTAAAAGCAGTCGTTGTGTTTCCACTGCGGTGACAGGTTGTTGACTGGAAGGCAGCTTTTTTTATGTGCAGGTGGCTAAACAGAAGCTTCGTCTTCCAAATGAGAGGCCTGTTGTGTGTGTGGGAGAGAGAGAGAGAAGGGCTCCAGGTGTGCGAGGGTGCCGACGTCATCCGAATGGAAAACGAATGGGTCACACTTGACAGTTGAGAGAAGAAAAAGCCAGACGTCTTGGGTATCTGGCTGGGTTGCAGAAACCACAGTCCCCCCTCTGAGCATCCTTTCTGACCTCTGCACAAGGCTAAATCTGCATCACGGGTGCAAATGTTTTTCTAATTAAAGGTGCATTGTTAATGGGCACTAAATCATTGTTTTTGGCAGTGGTTTGCTCTCCAAGCCTGTTTCAATTTAGTTTCTGAATGTTTCGTTACCGTGTTTCCCTGGAAATAAGACCCTGTCTTTTTTATATATGTATGTATGTATATATGTATGTATATAAATATAAAAACAGGGTCTTATATATACTTGTTTTCTTAAGTTTTCGCGGGTACTTACATGTATGGTGTTCAGCTTTGTTCGGGTATTTTCCCACTTTAAAAGTTGTGCTTTTAAAGTTGTAGCAACGTTTCGGCAGAATCTCATCTGCCATCATCAGGCTTCTGTATTGTGTTCTCACAGACGAATACAATACAGACGAGCACAATACAGAAGCCTGATGATGACAGATGAGATTCTGCCGAAACGTTGCTACAACTTTAAAAGCACAACTATAACGACGTGGGAAAATACCCGAACAAAGCTGAATACCATACATACATGCATGCATGCATACATACATACATATATATATATATATATATTTGCCAATAAAAAAGGCACCAGATCTTATTTTCGGGGGATATTATCCACTGACTAACTTCACTTGCGTGCATCACCCACAGCCTCCTTTTCGCTGTCAGAGGCCTTCAGGAACGTCTTCTGAGGCCGGCGAGGCTTTCCTGAAGGCCTCTGTAGCCGGTAACAGATCTCTGGATCGATCCAGAGCTTTCTTATCAGCTACAGAGGCCTTCAGGAAGGCATTGCCAGCCTTGCCAGCTGCAGAAGAAATGGGCTGGCAAGGCAGGTGTCGGGGTGTGTGAAACCTGGCTACAACTGTCCAAAGTAGGGCAGCTCCACCCACCTCCCCATCCCCACACTAGCTTAATTTTTACCTGTGCGCTCGAGTGAGTGGGATCTTAATTAGGACTTATTTGGGGGGTAGGGCTTATATTGGGCTCACGTGTAAAATTCAAGCTAGGACTTACTTTCAGGGTAGGTCATATTTTTGGGAAAACAGTAGGTAACCACATCAGCAGGGTCTTCTTGTCCTGTTCCTCTTTAGTTTCTAAATGTCCTTGTGTGCCAATGTGGTCAGTCGTAGTTTGTGTGATGGGTTGTTCATTTGGAGCTATATTTAAATTCTGAGCAGCTGATTGGTTCTCTTGTTGATTGGTAATCATTGTGATCGATAATTGTTGTACAACTTAATCATTGACGTTCAAAAAGGGGCGAAGAAGCCCCAGATTTTGATTGCTAAACGTTGACAGTTTACGACATTTTTCTTTTGTCACCATTGTTAAGCGAATCAGGCCAGTTGTTAAATGAATCATTTGGTTGTTCGGCGAATCTGGCTTCCCCCGTTGACTTCGCTTGTTGGAAGGCGACACATCGTGATTGCATGATCCCAGGACACTGCAACCGTCATAAATACATGCCAGTTGCCAAGCAGTCAAATCTTGATGATGTGGCTATGGGGTTGCTGCAATCGCCATAAGTGTGAAAACTGGTCAGAAGTCTTTCTTTTCAGCGCCGTGGCCACTTTGAGTGGTCGCTAAGCGAATGGTTGTGGGGCTTGGAATGATGCAACAGCATGCGACTTTTCTAAGAGTTTTTCCAGGTCTTTTACCCTCATTTTAAATCCCCCAACTACTGCAAACTGTGCAGTTTTTTCCCCCAGTTAGAGACTCCGTCATTCACAGCCATGATATTTATGGCAGTGACCCCCAAATGCCTCGGCACCAGGGACCAGTTGTGGGGAGAAAGGTTTTTCCGCATACCGGAGGGGACATGGTTTTGCGTGTGTTCTGACCCAACCTGGTTCCAAGAGAGTCAACACCAGACAAAGGCAGCAGCCCCCACCTTTTAGGGTTTCATCTACGAATTCTGTTTCTTCACAGATAAAAGGCTGCTTCCAACTAATTAGCTCTGACAAGAAAGAGCCTTGCCAAGTTGTTTTTCAAGGCTGCCCAAACCCCACAGATAAGAAATAGTTTACAAGAGTCTTCAAATGTAATGTCCATGAGGCTGAGTTTCAAAACGTCTTTGCCTTCTGCAAAGAAGGTTTGTTTCACAGCTGGCTTTTATCTTCTTGAGGGAGGGACCGTTACTTTGCAGCCTTACTCCCGAGTCACCCGTACTGCTGTAACTGTTCTTTCCTGCGAGCAATCCTGCGCACACACGCCCTTGGCACAGGCTCCTCGGGAACCTCCTCATCGCTGCTGCCAGCCCCCACAATCTCCGAAGGCAGCAGTCCACTCCCTAATGCTCCTGGCCCCTCCTCTGAGTCCTCGCTCTCCTCCACCGTCCACACCTGGAGCCGGCTAACCACAACAGCCTGCTGCCTGCAGACCAGGGATTGGCAAACCTAATCTATGGGTCTGATGGCCGGGCATATCAATATGAGCCGTGATGACACAGTGTTGAGAATGCAGCATTGCAGGCTAACTACTGACTGCCAACAGTTCGATCCTCACCTCACCGGCTCAAGTTGGACTCAGCCTTCCATCCTTCTGAGGTGGGTCAAATGAGGACCCAGATTGTTGGGGGCCAGAGGCTGGCTCTGTGCAACGCTTAGAGAGGTCTGGAAAGCACTGTGAAGCGGTATATAAGTCTAAGGGCTATTGCTATCTTGAGGCAGCCTTGCCTCGGGCATCTTATCCCAACTTTCTAAAGCAGGGAGAAATTTAGTGCATTGGCCCCCAGGATTGCCTAAAATTTCTCCCCCTCTTCCTCCCCCTTTAACTCTTCCTGAATGACTGATCATAATCCCCTCCCTCCCATTTTAAACCCTCACACGCTCTTTGTTTCTCTTCTCGTACAGGTGAAAAATTAGACTACAAGGCTTGCGAAGCTCTGGAAGAGATTTTTAAGCGCCTCCAATTTAAAATTGTGGATTTGGAGCAAACCAGCCTCGATGAAGATGTATGTAAATCTACAGAGAATTTTTATTTGCTTTTTTTTAAATCTTCCTCTCTTCTCTCCTTGGGGAGTTGAATTCTGTACCTTTTTTTCCCCCCACCGTTCCAAACTGGCTATCTCAGGAATCGAAAAGGTGCCCTTTTTATCTTGAGTAGACTTCAGGGAAGCCTCATTAAACCAAGCTGGGCTGGCTGTCAAAAAAGCGCCCGTTGCTTTTGGCTATTATAAATTTATATCCAATTTGAATTGACTGTCTGGAATGAGGTCTGTGGAGATTCTCAGTCCTCCAGGTCGTGGTTGTCCCAAGGGTGCTTTTTTTTCAAGAGGCAACTGGACTTCCTTGGTTTTGTTTTTTTTTCCTTGAAGATGTTTCACTTCTCATCCAAGAAGCTTCTTCAGTTCTTGCATGAGAAATGAAACGTCTTCAAGGGGAGGGGAAAAAAAACCCAGAGAACGAAAGATGCATCTTGCTTTTAAACTGCAGGGAAAGCTTTCACAGGAGGTAAGGTCTTCGTAAATGGAAACGAATTAAATGAACATTGCTAGACGGTAAAACATGAAAAATATAGCTCAAAAGAGAAAATAAAATTGGCATATTGGTATATAGGTAGGACCAATGAGAAGCTGTTGAAATTGAGAAAATGCCAGAAAATTGAGATTTATGTAATTATTCATATTTAATTTATAATATTATACTTATTATATAGTTATATTGTATACTGAAAAATATATAACTTATCTCCTCTTATGGCTATGAAATATAGAGCACAGTACATAGACTATAATTATACAGATTTATCTCGGATTTTTATCTTTTTATACGTACTTAGTGTTAATGTGATTTTTTTTTTCTTTTTTTGAACCATCAACCTATATACACGAATCACTTGTTATTAATATTAAGGCACTGTGAATTAGTATTACTAATACTATGAATAATTGTCAAGTTTTGATTGTATGTATTGTATTTATTGTACTGTCAAGAAAATGACGTTGAAAGATATTGACACATCTTCTATTATGGAAATTTTTGTAAACTTTTTAATATTTTGAATTTTTGTAAACTTTTTAATATTAAACAAAAAAAGGAACATTGCTAATTCTGCAGGCCCCCGTGGCTGGGTTGCAGGCAAGATGGTTATTTGGGATGCTGCACTCTGCTTATGCTTTCACTGGGTTTTTTTCCTCCTCCCTCCTCCTCCCTCTGTTTCTCGTTTGCTAGGGTGCCTCAGCCCTGTTTGATATGATCGAATACTACGAGTCCGCCACGCACCTCAACATCTCCTTTAACAAACACATCGGCACCCGGGGTTGGCAGGCAGCTGCACACATGATAAGGAAGGTTTGTACTGACGTTCTCCTAAGTTGGGTTCCTTGAAAACCTTGTAGTTGTGGGCAGCCTTGAGGAAGGACCGTAGAGGTTGAACGGAAAATCAGGCCGTCATTGACTTAACCACAATTCACCCTCAAATTTCCGAAGCCCCCAAATCGGCCCCCGTCGTCTCGCCGCAACGTCAGCTCCGCCCATCTCAAGTGAAACACTTGTGAAGTGAGTTTTGCCCCAGTTGTTAAGTGGATCGCTGCAGCTGTTAAGTTAGTAACATCGTTGTTAAGTGAATCGGGCTTCTCCCCATTCACTTTGTGTGTCTGAAAGTCCCAAAAGGGAATCGGGGGAGTGACCCCAGGGGCACTGCGACCGTCATAAATAGGAATCGGTTTGCCAAGCATCTGAATTTTGTATGTGTGACCACATGGAAGCTGCAATGGCTATCACTGCAAAATGGTCATAAGACTTTTTTCAGTTCTGTTGTCACTTCGAATGGTCACTAAGTGAAATGTTGTAAGTCGAGGACTACCTGTAATGGAAATGCCGTTGATATCTTTTCTCCTGAACGGGAGGCAAATTGTTGGAGATTGACTCTGAGGGAGAGGAGGAACAGCCAACAGGGAGTGGGGTGTGTGTGGCTCCGGAGGTTGCGAAGGAGGCTGGGCAGGCAGAGGAAGACCCTGGCCCACCCCCTTTCCATCCTAAGGCACACAGGGAGGAGGGGATAAGGGAGAGAGATGAATGGCATGGTCTACAGGGGAGGAAGCGGCCTTGATCCTCTTCATGGGCTGCAGCTGTGACAACCGGTTAAAAGGACGGACATGCGTATGGGCCAATGCTGGAAACAAAGCGTGGAAATATCTCTAGTCTGTCGTTCCTCTCTGAGTTTGGCGTCCTTCCCAGTGTGTGTTCCGATATCTGTGGATGTCTTCAAGCCCTGATCTTGCCTGGTTCCCTTAATTGCTTCAGTGTGGTTTGTGTTGTTTTTTATTCTTTATAATTTATAGGCATTTTTAGTTTAAACAGCGTTTCCTCCTTTTCCTAACTACTTGTGGGGTAGTTTTTCGTCTCCAGTCAAGGATATTTGGAGCTTTGAAGCAAAGGGAAGGAATAAAAGGGGCTTCACCTGTTTTACTGACTGTGTTTTATTTTGTATCCCGCCCTGGGTCATTACACAAATCCTAAGGATGGGTTTAAGTCTTATCTGCATCTGATTTTGTGTAGGAGGAGGAGTGGCAGCGCTGGGGGCGGCGTTAAAAGAGGGATCATCCTAGAATCTCTGTGTAGCCACAAACAGCCTTAAGCCTTTGATTCCCGCTGACCCGTATCTAAATCCAAGCAGGTGCCAACCTCTAAATGGAGAAGATCCCTGTGCACAGGCAGGCATAACAATGAATCGGTTTGTTTGAACCTTCACAGGGACTTAGTCTCATGGGCTTGACACTTGTGCTGTTTCCTTTCTTCCCCAGACAAACTGCCTCCAGTACGTGGATGCCCGCAACACACCTCTCCTGGATCATTCGGCTCCATTTGTGGCCCGGGCTTTGCGCATCAGCAACAGCCTGGTCGTCTTGCACCTGGAGAATGCGAGCCTCTCCGGTCGTCCCCTCATGTTACTAGGTGAATTGATCGAGTATTCACATTTTTGCACCCCCTTTGCCCCCAGACCCCTACCTCCACCTTGGACCACCCTGCGTTGCAGTTCTTCCCAATCCCCTGCTAAGAGACCACCAAGCTTCTTGCGAGTAAATTAACATTTTAGGCACAGAGGGCGTTTTTTTTTTGTGTGTGAAAAACAAATGTCTGGCCTGAGGGTTCCTTGGGGGGGTCCCGGAGCGTGGTGGTTTTCTTGCAGACATTTCATGACCCAACTAGGGAACATCATCAGTGCTAGAAGGATGTAGGGTTTGCTCTCTGTAAGCTCTGTAAATACAGTGTTGATGATGTTCCCTAGCTGGGTCATGAAATGTCTGCAAGAAAATCTCCAAGCTCCGAGAATACCATGGACACAATAGCCATACTCCCCTTCCTCCTCTCCCTCCCCCTCTTTTAGTACTGATGTTCTTCCTCCTCCTCCTCCTCCTCCTCCTCCTCCTCCTCCTCCTCCTCCTCCTCCTCCTCCTCTTCCTCCTCCTCCTCCTGTACTGATGATGTTACCTAGTTGAGTCATGAAAGGTCTGCAAGAAAACCACCCAGCTCAGAGAGTAGCAAGGACCCAACATTATTATTATTATTATTACTCCTCCTCCTCCTCCTCCTCCTCCTCCTCCTCCTCCTGTACTGATGATGTTACCTAGTTGAGTCATGAAAGATCTACAAGAAAACCACCCAGCTCAGAGAGTAGCAAGAACCCAACATTATTCCTCCTCCCCCTCCTCCTCCTCCTCCTCCTCCTCCTCCTCCTCCTCCTCCTCCAGTAATGATGATGTTACCTAGTTGGGTCATGAACGGTCTACAAGAAAACCACCCAGCTCAGAGAGCACCAAGGACCCAACAGCCGTCCCCCTCCTCTTCCTCCCTTTCTCCTTCTCTTCCGTTCCACAAAATCCATTCTCCTGTAGCACCTTGAGCTACAAATATTTTCCTTTAAATGTCAGGCGGGTATTTCAAAACACCCGACAAGCCAAATGAAGTGGTTCCCACCCTTACCTCTTCCCTAGCTTCTCTTATCACCTCATTGTTATCTTGAATTCCCTCCCCCCCCCTCCCCCCAGTGGGCCTCCCTCTGCCAATTCTTCGTGATCTGTTTATCTTCTGAGGCCGCTTCTACGGTTTAGGAGAGACAATGGACATTCTTGCAAATGAATGCTGCAAGCTTGAATAATGTATTGGAACCAGCCTGGAGGACTTTTAACGGGCAAACCTGTAGCAATAATAAATGAAGTTTGAAAGAGGATCTTCTTTGCTTGGGGCAGCGAGAGCTAGCATTAGTTGACTTGGTTGTTTTTCCACTCCAAAGCTCCTCTTAAGGGAGGGGAAGGAGGAGGAGAAAGAAAACTATATGGTCCCTATACTATATGGAAAACTATATGGAATGTACTTTTTTCCCCCCTTCTCTATAACCCTTTTCATCAGCGTTTTATGAATTCCCACCCTTATTAGATTGGGTAGGCACCGGTTGCAGGAATTGAGTATGGCTAGTCTAGTGAAAAAGAAGTGACATGATAGCAGTGTTCCAATATTTGAGGGGACTGCCACAAAGAAGAGGGTCAATCTATTCTCCAAAGCACCTGAAAGCTGGACAAGAAACATTGGAGGGAAACTTAATCAAGGAGAGAAGCAACCTAGAACTACGGAGGAATTTCCAGGCAGAGAACAATTAATGTCTTCTAATCTAGTCCAACCCGCTGCTCAAATCCGAAGACCCTCTACCAATTCCAGACCAACGGCTGTCCAGTCTCTTCTTGAAAGCCTCCAGTGATGGAGCCCCCACAACTTCCGAAGGCAAGCCGTTTCCCCGATTCTAACTGTCCAGAAAGTCATCCTTGATTAGTTTCCACCCATTGCTCCTTGTCTTGCATTCGAGTGCTCTGGAGAATAGGTTGGCCTCTTCTCCTTTGTGGCGGCGTCATAGATATTGGGACAGCGCCATCGCTTCTCCCCTACTCCTTCTGTTCATTAAACCAGACATCCCCGGTTCCCGCAACCGTTCTTCATATGTCTTAGCCTCCAGTCCCCTAATCGTCTTCGTTGCTCTTTTCTGCACTCTTTTCTCAACATCTTCTTTTCACAACGGCGGCAACCAAGACTGGATGCGGTATTCCAAGCGTGGCCTTCCCAAGGCCTTCTAAAGCATGAACCATCTTTTGATTACCGTGCAAAACAAAATCTTAAAAATCGCCCTCCAGCTTAAACCAAAGGGTTTTTTTTTTTCCTTCTCTGCGTAAAAGGACATCGAGTGGAAGAAGTTAGAAAAGAAAAGGCTTCTTTTTTTTTTTTTGAAAACAATTTTATTGGTTTTTTAACAAACAAACAAAACATAAAAGCATCAGCTCTCATCCGTATTTATATACAAACAGTGAGTCGGTTGGTTCATCAGTTTTGTGCATTCATTTCGTAGTCTCAATTACAATTATATTACATAATAATTCTTATTATCAATCCAAACTTATATATCCTCATATCGTTATTAAAAAAAAATCATTTGACTATACTTTTATTCATTCATGCCTTATGAGATAACTATAATTTAAGTAATTTATTCTATAACAAATCATATAATCATACCAATTCTATCCTAAAAAAAAAGAAAAAAAAACACTTTATAAATGTAATGTCAAATAGCAAAAGAAAAAAGAAAAAAAAGTCAATAATATTCCTTATTACCTAACATTCTAAATATTCTATTTTTGTATTTCATCGTCCAGCCATTGATAGAAAAAGTCCCAAATTGTATAAAATTGTTTATCTTCTTGCTCTCTAAGAAAAGGCTTCTTAACGCAGCTTGGATGCAGGGTGTCCCTGGGGGGAGAATGACACAGTTTGTATATATAGGAGAAATTTCCTGACAGGGAGAACAATCAACCCATGGAACAGAAGTTGCCTTCGGAAGTTGTGGGAGCGCCATCCCTGGAAGCTTTCAAGAAGAGACTGGACAGAAATGGTGTAGGGTCTCCTGCTTGGGTGGTGGGGGGTTGGACTAGATGACCTATACGGTCGCTTCCGACTCTGTTCATCTGTAATCTGTATTTGTGCCGTGATTAAAAATCCCATCTCTTCACTGGAGCGTTAGGATGGGACTTACACCCTGACCTCACTGCAGCCAACGCTCATTTTTTGCATCGTTGCGGTTTGCTGCCAGCACTGACAGGCACACAGGGGACTTGAAGTTTTGTTATTCTGCCCAGGTTCTTGCTTGCTCACTGGTTTATTTTTCCATCCTTAGCAACGGCTCTGAAAATGAACATGAACCTGCGGGAACTTTACCTGGCCGATAACAAACTCAACAGCCTCCAAGACTCGGCTCAGCTGGGCAATCTCTTGAAATTCAACTGTTACATACAGATCCTGGACCTCAGGAACAACCATGTCTTGGACTCAGGTAGGGGTACTCCTGCCTCAATTATCCTCAGGGCGGGAAGGAGGGAGGAGACAGGAGAAAGGAAGGGAAGGAAGGAGACAGGATGAAGGAAGGAAGTAGAAAAGGGGAAGGAGAGGGAGGAAGAAAGGAAGGGAAGGAAGGAAGGAAAGAAGGAGACAGGTCGGAGGAAGTAGGGGAAGGAGAAGGAAGAAGAAAGGAAGGAGACGAAGGAAGGAAGAGGGAGGGAGGGAGAAAGGAAGGGAAGGAAGGAAAGAAGGAGACAGGATGAAGGAAGGAAGAAGAAAAGGGGAAGGAGAGGGAGGACAATAGGACACGGGAAGGAAGGAAGGAGACAGGGAGGAAGGAAGAAAAAAAGAGGAAGGGAAGGGAAAGAGATTTTAATGCACTTTATTGCAATAAATTCAAAAAACCTACTTTTGAATCTGTCCCGCATCCAAGGAGACAATTTCTTCAAATTTGGACTGTCAATTGATAATTGTTTTTTTTTAAAAAATAAGGTTCTTTTTGTTGGCTCTTAAAAGTGTGTCATTCCTCCGTGAAACGAATAAAAAGCGTAAGATACCTCTAATCCAAGAAGCTCATTTTTCAGTGTTTCCTCTTTTCAAACAATCCTAAATAAATTACTGAAAGCAGGTGCAGAGATCTCAGACAGTTGCAGCCCCAAGAGGAAGTGAATTCAAAGTTTCCAGAAAGAACAAACGGATGTATTTATTCCCTCCAGCTAAATAAATACAGAACATGCCGAACTTCCGTGTTACCGTGTGTTATTTTCTAAAAAAAAAACAAATGGAAGAAAAGCTTCCTTTTTCTCCTCTGTTTGTCTTGCGCTTCCCAGGACTGGCCTATATCTGTGAAGGGCTGAAAGAGCAGCGGAAAGGCCTGGTCACCCTCGTGCTGTGGAATAACCAGCTGACCCACACCGGCATGGCCTACATGGGGATGACGTTGGTGAGCCCAAACCTCTCGCTCGCCGCATCTCCTCGGAACGACGCCTTGGATCAGGAAGGGGAAGAGGAAGAGCTCTTTTTTTAATTAAGGGGAGGGAGGGAGGAAAGGAGGGAGGGAGGGAGGAGGATTTTGAAGAGGGAGGGAGGGAGGGAAGGAAGGAAGGAAGGAAGGAAGGAAGGAAGGAAGGAAGGAAGGAAGGAAGGAAGGAAGGAAGGAAGGAAGGAAGGAAAATGCAGTGATTTAGACGACTTGAAAGATCATCCCTGAGGGGTCTACAAGCCAAGGACTTTGCTTTTTGGGGAATGTGTATCTCCTTTGAAGCTGACCTTCTGCCCTTCCTCAGCCTCACACCCAGAGTCTTGAGACCCTGAATTTGGGACACAACCCGATCGGCAACGAAGGTGTCCGCAACTTGAAGAATGGGCTCATCAGCAACCGCTCCGTGCTACGGTTGGGCTTAGCTTTGACCAAACTGACCTGCGAAGGTAAGCCGACTTTGCAGCCTTCCCCGTGGTGGCGGAAGCCCTCCCAAACCAAGGAGCGGGGCCTGCATGATCTCTTTTGGTGCCCAGGTGCTGTGGCCGTGGCGGAATTCATTGCGGAGAGTCCTCGCCTGCTTCGGCTGGACTTGCGGGAAAACGAGATCAAGACGGGGGGACTTATGGCCTTGTCCTTGGCTCTGAAGGTCAATCACTCTTTGCTCAGGCTGGACCTTGACCGGGAGCCCAAAAAGGAATCGGTAAGTCAGGGTAGGAAGCCAACTCCCAGTATGAGCAGCTCCCCAAATTCCCCAAAGTTTGGTCTAGTTGTTAAGGCACCAGGTTAGAAAGCAGGAGACCATGAGTTCAAGACCCGCTTTAGGCATGAAGGCTGGCTGGTGTCTATGGACCAGTCACCAGGAGACAGGGAGTTCTAGTCCCATATTAGGCACGAAAGCTGGCTGGGTGACCATGGACCAGTCACCAGGAGACAGGGAGTTCTAGTTCCGTATTAGTGAGTTCTAGTCCTGCCTTGGGCACGAAAGCCGGCTGGATGACTTTGGATGGAGTTTGCAACCTGCATCATATCTGGCCTCAGACTGACTCACCCGAAACGCAGGCCCCAAAGGAAAAGGGTTTCCTATCTGTGAAGCGCCTCGGTTGAACATCTTAAACTGCACTGATTCACCTTGTTCTGCCTCCTTCCTCTCAACAGGTGAAGAGTTTCCTCGAGACGCAGAAAGCCCTCCTGACCGAGATCCAGAATGGCTGCAAGCGCAACTTTGTCCTGGCCAAAGAGAAGGAAGAGAAGGAGCAGAAACTACAGCAATCGGCCTCCATGCCTGAGATCACAATCACGGAACCTCTGGAGGAGGAGGAGGAGGAGGAAGAGGAGGAGGAGGAGGACCAGCAGGCGGGAGAAGAGGACGGGCGGAACGGGGACGTGGTCTCCAGCCTGGAGGAAGTGGAAGAAGCGGCCGAAGCCTTGATACCCCAGGAGAACGGAGCAGCGGAGCAGAGAGCAGCCGGCACCGTCGGTGACGGCAACAACCACCTCTGCGATTCCGACTCAGATACCGAAGAGGAGGAAGAGGAGAAGGAGGAGACGTTACAAATAAAGACTTCCTCTCCGTTGGGACAGCACCGCCAGCCCAACCACGCTGAAGGACCCTTCGCGGTGGGTTCTCCCGAGAAGGGCCGGGCCACCCTTGGCGCCGAATGCAGGACCTCCCTCTCGAACGCTGCAGAAGAAATCAAATGTGAATCTCGAATAGGGACCGCGAGCAGTGCGCCTCTGCAGGCCCATTCTCCTGGGAACGAGAAGCGGATATCGGTTTCCAGTCCCGGCCGAGGGCACAAAATCTTCGTGGTGACGCGGGTGGAGAGCTTGCCGGAGAAGGAGGAGGCAAGGGCAGCCCATCAGAAGGCGGCCCCCGCAGCTCTGCCCGCCCCTCCGTCGAGGCAGGCGGACTCTCGGGGGCCCCATCAGCCCGTAAAGACTGAAGGCTCGAAAACAGAGACCAGTGAAACTGTGGCTGGACCCACAGCCAGCTTGGAAAGCCCACCCCCCACGCCAGGTTCCCATTTGGGCCCCGACAAAATGAACTCTGGGCGCTGTGAGGACGCTGTCCACCTTACTCTGCTTCCTAACGGGGTGAAGACGGACTTCCTTTGCGTGCTGCCGGACGCCCCTTTGGGATACGACGGGAAAAGAGCCAGCTGTGCTGCGGAACATGGTAAGAAAGCAAGCAGAAAAGCTTGGTTTAACAGCAGAATGAAATGGCCGGGCCGAAGAGGGGCCCACATTTGATTTATTGGCCTGAGGTTGAGCAATGTGTGTGTGTGTGTGGGGGGGGGCTCTCAAGCTCCTTTTGGGTGAAGGCAAGGGTTGTTGATTTTGCAGGTGGGGTGCTGGAGATACGCTCCTGAAAAACCAGAAGAAGGAGGAGGAGGAAGGATTAGAAAACAGTTGAAGTCTAGGTCAAAACTTTTCAATCCGGGTGTCCATCCTTGGCGACTTTAAGACCCATAGACTTCAATCCCAGGTGGAAGTCTAGGGGTCTTAAAGTGGCCAAGGTGGAACATGTGTGATTTAGGTAAAGGAAAAGGTTTCCCTCCTTGCACATACGTGCTAGTCGTTTGCGGCTCTAGAGGGCGCTGGTGCTCATCCCCGTTACAAAGCCGAAGAGTGAGCGCTGTCCGAAGACGCCTCCGTGGTCATGTGACCAGCATGACAAAACGCCTTTGAAGGCTCACAGAGCGCTGTTCCCTTCCCACCAAAGGGGTCCCTATTTTTCTACTTGCATCTTTACATGCTTTCGAACTGCTAGGTTGGCAGAAGCTGCTGGGACGAGGAACGGGAGCTCGCTCCATTACGCGGCGCTAGGGATTCGAACCGCCCGATCGACCAGCTCAGTGTCTTTGCCACTGAGCCACACCGACAGCAAACCCCACTCCTCATGAGCCCACGCAAGGGATTCAACTAAATGCCCAAAGGCACACATGGAACATTGTTGCCTTCCCACCAAGGTGGTCCCCCTATTTTTCTACTTGCATTTTTTACGTGTTTTCAAACTGCAAGGTTAGCAGAAGCTGCCGGGACGAGGAATGGGAGCTCACTCTGTTACGCAGCGCCGGGGATTCGAACCGCCGGACTGCTGACCTTTCTGATCGACAAGCTCAGCGTCTTAGCCACTGAGCCACCGTGTCCCTTTTAGGGGATTCCCGAATTTTAGAGCGTTGTGGTGGCCTAGAGGTGGAGCTCATCACAATCAGGAGGCTGTGAGTTTGATGCTCGGTAGCGGCAGATATTTTTTTCTCTCTCTCTGGGCACCTTGAGTTACTGTCTGCTGTGAGCTCTGCATAGGTGTCAGGAAGGGTGTCCAGCCAGTAAATGCTCACACTCTTATTCAGTCACCTCAGTGCCAGGGATGACAGGGCGGTTAAAAGAAAAGGAAAAAGTTATAACCTCAGCAAATGCAATTCTTTCCCACGGATAGGATCATTTTTCTCCTTCCATCATGTCAAAGGTGATGGTTTGGTAGCCACTTCTGGACAGGTTCCTGGGCTGCAGGGCTTGTGGCTTGGTGGAAGCCGTGACCTCACGGTCAGCCTGATGATGGCTGCATGAGGGTCCAGTTGTCCATTTCTGTTTTTCAGAGTTGAACTGTTCCAAAAATGAGAAGGAGCTGGAGGAGTTACTCTTGGAAGCCAGCCTAGAGATGGGACAGGAACCAATGTGACACTTTAGGTAAGGGACAGCCCCCACCCCACCCCTCACCCCCACCCCCCCTTGCCAGGAGCGTTTTCAGCCAACATCAAGTTCCCAGAAAGAAAAATCAAGGTGTGCTTTAAAGGCAGAGCTGTTTGGCCACAGCTGGATTGGTTTTCTTAAGACGTGTGTGGTTGTTTGTTTTCTTGCAGACGTCTCATGACCCAACTGGGTCCCATCATCAGTGCGAGAAGGGGGTGGGGTTTAATCTTTTTTAATATATCAATAGCCCTTAGACTTATATACCGCTTCACGGTGCTCTGCAGCCCTCTCTGAGCGGTTTACAGAGTCAACCTCTTGGCCCCAAGCAATTGGGGTCCACGTTTTACCAACCTCGGAAGGAGGGAAGGCTGAGTCAACCTCGAGCCCGTGAGAATCAAACTGCCCGAATGTTACCACGTTGGGTAGCGTAATGAGGAACCCGTCCAGCTCAGAGCACCAAGGACTCCAGAGTTTTATCAGCCTCCTTTTCCTCCACCTTCCTTTTCCTCCTTCCCACAAAACCCGTTCCCTTCTGGCACTGATTCCTTTACCTAGTTGGGTAATGAAACGTCTGCAAGAAATCAGTCAAGATACTCAGAAAGTCTCAAGGAGCCCACGGTCCTCCTCCTCCTCCCCCCTTCCTCTTCCTCCTCCTTCTCCTCTTCCTCTTCCTCTCCCTTCTCCTCCTCCTCCTCCTCCCAAACCCTACTACTGTCTAGCACTGATGATGTTTGGTAGTGAAAGGTCTGTGAGAAAACCATCCAGCTCCAGCAGCACC